GGCGCCGCACCGGGGCGCGGAGGCTGCGGGCTGAGGGGGTGGGGAGCGCGGAGCTGTCTTCGGGCTGATTTGCAATGAGGCCGAAGAGTCCCATAGATCTAGGTAAAAAGTACAATTTTTAAAAATGCTCCGAGTCCCTGGCCGCATTACTGCACAAACGGGACAGTTCGACCGGTGAGCTATAACCCCAGGTCTTGGCCACATCTCAGTTTCTTTTCGGGGGTAAGGGGGGATCGATCACGTCCCAAAACCCTCCCGGCAGAGGAGGCTGAACAGCTGCTTGCTTTTAGCCCGAATTGAACCAACTCCCCCCATCCCTGAATGTGGGACGGAGGCCGCCGGCGTCTCTAATCCAAAGACCAGAGCGGCACGGGAAGGGCCCTGCCCAGCGCTAAGAAACCAGAACCTCAGGCCCGACCCCAGGAGGGCGCAAACCCTGGACAGGCCTTCCCAGGAGAACCCGACACAAGGCACCTGTCCTGTTGCTTCTCACGTTATGCCTCCTTAGAATTGTTTTCCCTGTTCCATCCTAGCCCGGAAGTTACGAGATCCGACATTATGGACCGGCCAAGTGGGTCAGCACTTCGATTGAGTCTATGGACTGGGATTCAGCCATCCAGACTGGCTTTACAAGGCTGAACAGCTACATTGAAGGCAAAAACGAGAAAGGTGAAGGCAATTTACCTTGTAATTATATATACTGTGTTGTGCTTGAATCCTCTGGCTTACTGAGTTTTCGCTTATTGAAGAAATACATTTTAGAATAGAAAAATAACCAGATTGTCAAAGACTTACTGTTTGAAGACGAGGACACAGCTCAAGGCCCTTAGCAGCGTCTAGATGAGGATTAAGTCCTGGGTAGCGCTTTTCAGCCTCTCGTCTCTGTGATTCTGCTGGATGAAGTGGGCCTCTGTGTAACCAGCATTAAGGCCTTTTCATGGCTAAGGCTTTGAGCTAATTTGCTGACTAGTGAGGTAAGAGACATCAGGAGGCAGGAAGGGCCAAAGAACACAAGATCCAGTCTCAAGATCTATCTTCTGGTCTGGCTCTGATGCTGCTTATATTTTAACAGGTCACCTGGCCAATCGGATATCAGTTTCTGAATTGTAAAAATAATGAACTGGACTATGTGATCTCTGATTTTCCCTTCTATCCCTAAAACTATGGAATTTATTAATGAGACTTATGAATAGTACAGAAAGTGTTTAATGTGGGCAGTGGAGAATTGCCATTTTGCCCTTAATTTTTTTAAGATGAAAATTATCTTAAAGGTACATATTTATGTTGAGTAAATCAGGAAACTCAAATCAAAAAAATAATAGATTAAGTTTTTAAATGTAGTCATAAACACATTAAATCTGCTTCCATGATCTCCTTTGCATTTAAATATATATTTTTACGGCACAGAGATGAAAATAAAGATGACAGCTCCAGTGACAAGCTACGTGGAGCCCGGTTCAGGTCCTTTTAGTGAGTCTACCATTACCATTTCCCTGTATATCCCCTCTGAACAGCAATCTGATCCGCCCAGGCCTTCAGAGTCAGATGTCTTCATTGAAGACAGAGCCGAAATGACGGTGTTTGTACGGTAAGTGGTAGATAATTTATAGCCCTGCTGACTGCTGGTTTTACTTGCCGGCCCTCATAGTTTAGCTTCTATGCAATTTAGCTCCCATGCTTTTCACTCTTCCATAAAAACAGAGCTAATGCATTTTCTGGTGTTTTCCTAGTAGCTTAGTTTTACTTGTTACTAAGTGTCTGTTTCAAGGAATAACTAATTCATTCAATGAGAAGTTTCTGCATGCCTGCCACAAATAAGATGAAACATAAAATTATACCCTACCCTACCCCCTAAAAAGCATGAGACTCCCCCTACCTGTTATCTAGTTAAATCTGGAGAAAAAATACCGTAAAATTGTGAATAGTACCCTCCTCCCAACTTCTAGGTTCTGCTAACCCCTCACTTTTCCCTTTGCTCTGCCAGCCCACAGGGTGGTGGCAGCTTCCTGCAGTGATTGCCTCTGTTGGTTTACTGGTTCCTTTTTAGTTTTTCAGATCTCCAATACTTGTTCAACTCATTCCTTATATTAAATTCTCTCTGTTTGGTATTAAAAAAAAATTCGCACAGTACATGATAATAGTCTCTCACATTAGAGCCCCTTAGTCCTCTCTTTCTCACCCTCTCTTCACCACCAACCTGTTAAAAGACTCTCTACTGCCTCAACTCTCACTACTCGTCCAACCCCCGCAGCTTGGGACCGCAGCCCCGCGCCTGCGCTGTCTCCCTCCGCGGGGCCCTTGCCCTTGTCACTGTAGGGCAGTGCTTTCCCATGGACCCCCGCAGCGTTCGAGTGCTGCCCAGTCTGCTCCCTTGAGCCTTGTTCATCCTCTGACTCTCAGCATGTCACTCTCCCGTCAGGCCCCTCCTCCCGCTGCTCTCCCTTCAGCGGCGCCTCATCGACTCCACACCCCGGGGAATAGCGGTTGATGCCCGCACTGACTCACCCTCGCGTCATAGCAGACCTGCTCTGGGCGATCTGTTCACAGCGCTGCAACTATCTGTGGCCAGTGACTCTCAAATTTTGTCTCCAACCCTGATTTCCCTGCTTGTTGGGGATGGGGGCGGGGACAGCGGATAAAACTCCACAGCTCTCAAAATGAGCCTTCCCCCAGTTCCCAGACTTTCTCTGGTCTTACAGAGCCTGTCTCGGTAAAGGGCCTCATCAACCTGACAGCCTGCCCAGCAAGGACCTTCGCGGTCAGCAACATCAAACACACCCTTTCCTGACAGCCAGTCCCTGGGTCCCACCCATTCCCCTCAGAAACGATGGTGATTCTGTTCCCTTCATCCCCACTGTTACCCTCACCTGAAGAGGCCGCACCTGTCATCTTTGCTAGCCCGGTGCTGGGCACAGTGCCCGACACTCACTAGATGCTCCGACGTTTATCGATATCAGATCTTGACGGTTCCGCTTCAAGAGCCTCCCAGCTGTTCTCTCTGCCCACTGGTCTCCCCCTCTAACCCGCCCTCCACTCTGGAACCCCTGATCTTTCCTACAAGAATAGCACAAACCCCCCACCCCCTTCAACCTGCTACTCCATTTACAAATCTGTTTGTTCCCCCTTGCTTCAGAGTGACATTCGAACTGTTCACCATGTACACATGCCTTCAGAATGTGACCCAAACTGTCTCCCTGTGGACTGTGCTCCCCTGACCTCCCGCCCTCAATGTACAGCCCGCGTTCTTCCACATCTCTTTACCTTTGACCTCAGGCAGGTTGCTCAGACTTTCCTTGCCAAAAATCTCATCTGTAAAATACGTGTGATCATAGTACCTACGTCTCTCATAGGGTTGCCATGAGGATCACATGAGTTAATTTATGCAAAATACTTGAACATGGTATTACTACCAGCTCTAGCCCCCTCTTTTTTCTCTTTCTGGAGAGCCCATTTTCATCCTTCAGGACTTAGATCCAATGGCACCATGTCTGTGATGCCTTCCTCGGTTTCTCCAGTCAGCCAGCCACTCTGTCCTATTATTTAAATTCTAATGACCTATTTATAGGCTGTAACTTCCCCAGGAATATAGCAACATGTTACTCTGTCCACATCCTTCAGCTCCTAACATGCAGAGAGGGAGGCTCAACATATGTTTGTTTCCTGAAAAAAAGCCATGGAGAGATCATTGCAGAACAACATGTATTCAGAGGACAAACATGATTTCTAAGTAAGAGGCTTAGTATTTGATTTCAGGGAAGAAGTGGGGTCTGAAACAGATTCCCTTTAGGCAGAACATACTAAGAGTTGGCTATTCCTTAAGGACATAAATAATAAATTTGGAAGCCAAAATGTTTCTTAACATGTGGTTCAGAATTATCATTATCAGTCAACATAATGAAAATTATAGAATGGTTTTGACCACTTATCTTCAACGTTTTACTTTATATACATAGTACCCTATACTTACTCAACTGGGATTTAAAAGGCTCTGCATGCCAGGAATGATTCTAGATGTCTGGGAGACATTGTTGAATAGAAGAGGCACAATGGTTTGTACCTTTGGGAGCTTACATCTTATCTGAAGAATGGTAGGAATGATCTTGTCCTTTGGCACATTGATAATAAATCTTGTGCTAAAGAAGGCATATTAGGAATGTTTCTGTTTCTGTTTTTCCTGTTCTTAATCTTCAAATTCATCATGTTTACATGTCAGCAACTCAGCTAAGTCAGTGTGCTGTCATGATTTAATCTCGGGGTATTTTTGTTTATCTTCCTTAAAATCTATACTTAAACTTTTATTTTCCCACTTTTTATTTAAATCTTTTGACTATCTTTTCATCCCCAGCCTTGTAGTAACTTGCTAACTGGCTCCTTCTCTGCAAACTAGTTCCCATCTCTTTGCCTATATTTTTACTCAGAACTGACTGAGTTACTTTTCTGCTCAACATCCTTTGGAATAATCTCAAAAGGCCTTAGGATGATATATAAGGTTCTTCCATCTGGCTGTGACTCACCTTTCTGACCTCATTTTATGCCTCACTATGAAAATGCTTTGTATTTTTAGACATTTGTTCCTTTCTTATCCCCCCAACCCCACTTTCTCTGTCCAGCAAAACCATCTTCTACTCCAGACCCAACTCAGAGACACACCTTACCCCCGATTTACTCATATCCTCAGTGTTCCCAAGCACTTTGCTTCTGCCTCTGTTAAAACTCTTCTCAGGCTGTCTAGAGAATGTCCATCTCTTCCATTAGACTGTAAGTTCATAGGGCCCAAACTATATTACATTCACCTGTAATACAGTGCCTGTCCTTTCTCCAAGGAGAATAAGAAAAGGGGAAATATTCGATACAGAATGAAAAATCTGGAAGGGAGTCTGCAAAGGGAGTTTTCATGTGGTCCTCTGACCAAGAGCATCAGCATTATCCAGAGGTTGTTAGAAATGCAGGCTCTCAGGCCCCAGACCTCCTGAATCAGCATTTTAGCAAATTCCCAGGTGACTCGTGTGCACATTAGAGTTTGAGAAGCACGGAGTTAGAGCATGAGATGGTGGAAATTCCAAATCTACCCAACAAATGGGACGTACGCCTCCTCCTGGGTCCCCCCAGTGTGTGTGAGATCACACTAAGCCTGGGACCCAGAGGAAGGGAATGGTCAGTTCAGCTGCCAAGAGGGAGGAGCTTTGAAACGGCGCTCCTTCCAGGTTTTGTTGTATCAGCTCTTGTTTTTCTTCTTAGACAGACGTTCCGTATGAAACTCATTCATGGTCATTTACTTTCTCCTTTGTAGGTCTTTCGATGGATTCTCTAGTGGCCAAAAGAATCAAGAACAGCTCTTGACATTAGCAAGCATTTTGAGGGAAGAAGGAAAAGTTTTCGATGAGAAGGTTTACTACACTGCAGGCTACAACAGTCCTTTCAAATTGCTTGATAGAAATAATGAAGTATGGCTGATTCAGAAAAATGAACCCTCCAAAGAAAAGGAATGAGAAAATGAGAGGAACGTTCATCACAAAACTTCTGTTTAAGATAGACATCAACGTTACCTAGAAGTAAAATGTGTCTGGCATCTCTACCCGAGAGTACTGCTATGAATTAAGCTTATCTCCATTGTGCCTTTTTAATGCTTGAAGCTTTAGATACACAGATAACAGGGACAGTATTCTATAAACATGTAAGTTGGTCTTTATTTCTATGAGGCTCCAGGGAAACACATTACTTCCCGTTTCTTCACTGTATCACAATCACGTTGCCTTTTCTCTGCTTGGATTTGTGTCAATTGGATGTTACCCACCTCAGGATATTATCAATAAAAATGTTAAAGATTTATCTCCCAATACCCAAGAGTGTTGACAATATTTCATGACAAGGAATACATTTATGAAGTTAGGGACTTCCTACTTTGTTTTGACACTCAAGAAAGACATTTTTTCCCCCAAAGAAATGTATACAAACAATCAACTTTAAAATTCACTTGAATTTTTAAAGTATTGTATGCAGTGTTTCTGTAGGTCATATAAAAATGATTAGTTATTCAAAGAGAGGGTTGCTGCAAAATCAAGGTGCTTGAAATGCTGACCCAATTGTATTGGAACGCACCTGTCCTGGAGAGGACAACATCACGATAGTGCCTGGAAGCCTGTCATGGGCAGGACCTGAGCTTTATTGTGGGCTCCTAGGGGATGGCGGTTGTAGGTACAGAGGAGAAAAGCAGGTTGGAGCTTAGTAACTTCCCAACAGGCAAAGATGCCCACGAATGACACTACTTCCCTTTCCCATCATTGTGTGTGTTCAAGCAGAGACCACGTGATCACTTACATGGGAGATTTGAATCCAGTGGATGAAAGGATGGGGCCAGATGATGCTCAAGGTCCTTTTAGTCCTGACGTTATATGGTATCTATTAAAATGAATCTCCCTAACCTGGACACAACAGACCAACATACCTACAGTTAGTGGTTTCCATAGCTCACATGGATGGGTTGCCTTCTGGGTGCACCCTTCTGAGCATTTCACCTGAATTCCCACATTCAACCCTCAGAACAACCCTCTGTGCCACCTTGTGTCATCTCCATCTTACAGAGTGTACACTCTAGAGAGTGAGAGGGTGCAAACACCAATGAAACAGGGCAATGAGGTAGACTGTGGCTGGGCAGAGTGTGGTGGACATCACATCACATGGGGGGTCAGGCAAGTCCTCCCTGAGGAAGAGACATTTGAGACCTGAGTGCTGAGAAGAAGCCACTCAGATGACAGCCTGGGGGGTGGGGGAAGCATTCTGAGCAGGGGTGACTGCGTCAAAGGAAGAGGCCACCTTCAGTATCAAGAACAAAGCTGCATGGACTGTTTGCTGAGCCAGGAGAGCTGCGCTTGCAGGACACAGTCTCTCTGGACAAAGAGAACTGCTGACCTTGCACAGGGTTTAAGGAAGCGCAAGGTTCAAGGATTAGTGGACTTTCAGGGTCACTTAGAAACTGATGGTGCTTTAGTTGAGGAGGTGAGGTTACCAGAGCGAGGCCGCTGCTGATGAGTGTGATTTAGACGCCTGGTTTGGAGGCGAGGTTACTGAAGCGAAGTGGTCATGAATCACTTCTGGCGCTTATTTGTGATTGTGGCCAAAGAATGGTCATATCTTTTCTGGGCTTTGGAGTCGTGGCAGGCAAGCATGGAGGTGTGCCACTCAGATCCACCTTCACGAGAGCACCGCTGCCCAGCTGTGAGGGGTGGGGGAAGCTGATGTCTCCAGCTGGTACTTTCTGCAGGATCCACTGCAGACTTCGAGATGAAGACACACTATTCTCAGAGGGTCCCTAGGTTACAACAGAGTGAGGCAGTGGGAGTTGACAGTGTGCTTTGTTTTGGCATCTGCAAGCCAAAGACTGAGCAAGGTGATGGCACAAGGACTTAGCCATTTCTGTCTGACTCAGGATCCTTCTTATAAACAGTCTTGGCCCTGGAGCTCCCTGGTGGGCTGGCAGAGGCTTCATCAGATCTGTGTTGCCATCCGATAGCTACCCTGCCCAATCCTGTTTTCCCTTTTCCTTTCAGAGATGTGACTTCACCAGACATCTTCTGTACTCCCAACTCTGTCTCAGCATCGAACTGGCACAACTGGTATCACAGTGGCCCAAGATCATGGGTAGTAAGACAGCATTTTGGAACTAGGTCAGTCACTCACTGCCTGGCTGGTTAGGAAGCCCCCGTCCCTGGTGGACAGGGCACATGTAGACAGCTCCTGGCACAAGTAGGCTGTCTAGTTATTAAAACTTTAGTCGAAACGGCAACTTAGAAGGAATGCGATGACTGGTGAATGATTCAGGTGTTTTAAAAATTGGGGGTGTGGTGGATGAATACAAGGACAGTGGACTTGCATGGTTATTACTTAGCTGGATTGTTGTCCTGCAGGTGGATAATGAAAAAAAAAAAAGCTAAGGTCAATTAACAAAGAATTTTAAACTAACTGTGAGGGCGAGAGCTTCTTGGGTAGCTTCCTAGGAAGTCCTCCCCTCATGCAGAAGGCAAGCACAGGACTGGAAGGGAAAAGTAATAACCAAGAACAAAGGTTCAGCCAAGCCTGATTTGTCATGTCAAGGTCAGGACCAAACCTGGAACAGAAAATGGGGACACGTAGTGGATGCCCTCAACAGTTTTGATTCCCTAGAAGTTTCTGAACATTCTAGGCCTGCAGAAGAGGCCCATCCTCCCCCCATTAAGAGCTGAAACTACCCTCTTGTCTCCACTCCCACCCTAACACAAACAAAGACAATATAGAAGTCTTTCCCCCATAAGGCAACAGGGGCCCTAGGAGCTGTCTGCACCCCATCTCCTAGCTACCAGGCATTTACCCAAGGTTAAGTCACAGCATAACCTCGGGGAGGCCATGCTGGGCCTGACGAAGGAAGAAATGGACGATGTGCCAAGGTTGCAGCCTAGCCAACGTGTACTGGCAGGGGCCGGGAGAGGACCCTTGGGACTCCGTTCTGAAGGTGCTCAGTCATAGGTGCCAGAACACAAGACTGGATAAAGGAATGTTTATTGACTTGGGGATATGGCTCAGGATACAGGATTTAACACCTTTAGGGATGTTAGATCCTTAGGGATGAAAGGGAGAGAAACCCCAGGGGACACTTAGGGATGCTCCTAGCAGTCTGAAAAAATCTGATAGAAATATTGAAATGCCTGAAGTGTTGGGAGAGGAAATAGAGGAAGGAAGGAAAAGGCGGGTGGAGGGGCATGCTGGAGTAAGTCTGTCACATGAGGCAGGAAGGCCCCTCAGGGGATTTTTGACTTAGTCCTTTGGGGCTGCTCTAACAGAAGACCAGCCTGTGTGGCTTAGACCACAGACATTTATTTCTCACAGTTCTGGAGGCTGGGAATTCTAAGATCAAGATGCTGGCTGAGTCAGTGCCTGAGGAGGTCTACCTCCTGTGTCCTCACATGACGGAGAGGGAGAGAGAGCGCTGGTCTCTTTCTTCTTGTAAGGACACTGCTCCCATCTTGGAGACTCCACTCTCATAAGCCAAATTACTTACCAAAGGCCCCGTCTCCAAATACCATCATCTTGGGTGCTAGGGCTTCAACATATAGATTTGGGATGGGGGGCACAGTTCAGTTCAGGGGCGCCCTTTGTACTCCTTGCTCAATTGTAACTTGAATGGACAAGTGTAGCGGCCCTGGTCTGAGAAGGGTTCGGCTCCCAGGATCCCAGGCCCCTCAGGAACAAGAGCTTGGTTCACACCATCAGGAAAGCCCTTAAGACCAGCAGAGATGCGAGGTGAGGGTGAAAGGAATTTAGAGTGGAGGAGGGGGCTGAGGAGGACCGGCTGTGGCCTGGAGACTACGTTCAGGAAGGTGCTGTAGTTGGTCCCATCAAACTCTTCATTTACAACTTCTGCTCAGGAAGAGAAGTCCACCAGGGCCCTTGGAGGAGTTGCTTTCCACGTGTTTATGGGGAAGCGGATCTGTACAGTGCAAGGGGTGGAGTGTGGCAAGCATGGGGATATGCCACTTAGATCCCCCTTTGAGAAAAGACTTGCCATGTAGCTGCAGGAAGTGTGCTGAGCTGACAGCCTCCAACTGTTGGCTTTCCCAGGGTCCACCTTAGCTTTCAAGCTGAGACCACACTATACTTAAGGCAGGAAGGGTTGGTGGCCAACGACTTCGCTAAGCTATGAAACTGAGGGCATGCTCTTCTCAGGGTGGCCTCTTGCCAAAAGCCAAGCAAGGCCTGGGAAAGGATCAAGCTGTTTCTGTCCAACACAGGACTTCTCTAAGGAGTGATCTTTTCCCCAGAGTTCCCCAGCAGGTGGACTCAGATCAGCACTGCAGGGTGAGCACTCTCCCTGACCCACCCTCCACCCTTTCTTCCTTTTCAAATGTGTTACAGTGTCTCCTTCCTGAGGAACCTAAACCAGCATAGAAATACGGGCACCTTCCTTCTTAATATCTAAAATAAGGCTCTAAGGCCAAAAGTAACATCTGTCCAGGGACAGAAGGAAGGAGAATGAGGCCAAATCTTGAGTGAGAGGGAATAGTGGCAGATCTTAAAGGCCACAGCAAGGAGTTAAAATCCTATTCCAATGGTCACATCATCTTCAGAGGGTTTCAAGCAGGGACGTGCTATGAATTGTTTCTAAAGCTGCCTTTGTATGGTGAAGTGAGGGTGGTTTAAGATGCACAGTAAAGGCAAGAAGACCAGCTGGGAGGCCTCTACAGTGGTCTGGTCAAGAGATAACAGTCTGGACCTGAGAGGGAGCATTGGAACTGGTGAGAAGTAACTGGATTTGTGATACATTTTGGCAACATCGTTGCTGTGACTAGCTTTTGGTTTCGATGTGGGGGTGAAAAGAGAGACCACGAGGATGAGCCTGGTCTTGGAGCCTGAGCCCTTGTGTGAATGGTAACACCCACTGATAAGGTAAAGAATTGGATATGTTTAAGTTCAAAACACCTCTAAATGCAGATTCTGAGTAGGCAGTTGATATACTAATCTGGGGTTCATGGATGAAGTCAGGACAGGAGACACTCGGGAATTACCAGAATATATAATATTAATGTCATACTATGGGATTAGATGCAGTCACCAAGGGAAAGGATAGCTTGAGAAGAAGGCTAAGAACCAAGCCAGGTCACATCAGTAAAACCTTCCTTGTTTCCCAATACTACAAAACAAACCCCAAATTACTTGGGACGACATTCTGGGTCTTCTACATTCCTGCCCAAGACGACCTTTCCAGTCTCAGTCCCCACTATGTTTTTCTAGAGACTTCCTAGTTTAACTCCTTGGTTTCCTCTTGACACTTTGCTTCTGTGCCTCTGCTCATGCTATCCCCTGTTTGGAATGCCTGTCGTTTGCCAGCTTCCCTTGCCTGGCAAAACCCTCCTCGTCTGCACAGTTGGCTCAGGTTCACCACAGCCAACTCCTCTCTTACCTTCCTCTGACATCTCCATCACCCAACTGCAAAGCATGTGAAAACGACTTACCCAGTGGGTCTGGGGGTAGACAGCCCAAGGCTGGTGCAGTGACTCCGTGCTATCAGCGGATCAGGCTCCTTTCTCCTCTGCCTTCCACAACGTGTGGCTTCCATCCTTACTGGCGCCTCAAAGGGTACGAGGGTACTGTTTCTCCTCCAGCCTCCCATCCATTCTACGGATACAAGGAGGAAGGGGATGGCACCCATATAAGGAAAGCAACATTCCTGGAAATTCCCAGACTACTGCCCATGTCTCATTGGCCAAAACTGCCACACATACGGCCCTTGACTATGGCGGGTGGGGATGGGGGGTAAGAGATGTGGTCTAGTGTTTTAGTTGGTGCATTACCAGCCTGAATCAATTCCAGGTGTTCTGTTGGTAAAGGAGAACTCGATTAGGGGTGGGTGGGGAGCAGGGTCTGCCCAGTGTTCTTCCTTTTCTGTACTCTGATGCTGCTATATGTATTATAGGCTAGTTCACTGTCTTTTTCACTAGGTTTCAGGCAACTTAGTGATCTCTCATCCACATTTTTCTGTCTTCGAACTCTCTTATCCTTACCTAGCACGTAAGAAGTATTTAATAAAGGGCTTTTTTTCAATGCTGAACAAATGACTAGAGATTGCTCTAGTCCTTGTTCTGGGAATAAAGGCTGGCCTGTGTGGAAGGTAGTTTAGAGCAGATCACTGAAACAAACTATGTCACAGTAACTGAATAAGGACCTCAAGAATCAGGTCCATGTTTTATTCCAAAGACCCTCCTTCCCTGCCCTCCCCACCCCCAAACAATATTCTAATGTCTATGAAAGTAAATTATCCTATGGTGCTCATTTCATGATGGAATCTCAGCAGTATAAACAATGACTCACCTACAATTAATGCGCTGGAAATACATTAAGGCAGAACCCATGAAGCCAATCCTGTTTCCTCTGTCCTCCTGGGATGCCCACCCCAGAGCTGGGCATGGTGTTGGACAGGGAATAAGATGAAGATATAGAAATGCCTCCTTTTCTTTCTTTGTCATTGAGTCCCCAGACAAATATACTCTCATCCCCACATGAGAAGCAACAGTTTCAATCAACAGTCTTCAGAAATAGGAGAGCAGAAATCAGATGAGTTGAGGCTGTTTCCAATGGACAGACCAAATGGTCCTGTTTCTTGCCCAACTCTTAGAAAAAATAAGGTGGAACTAGCTTAGCCATGGGGCTTCTGTCTATGACTCTCTGGTGCCTAATGTCTCAGGCTATAAGGAAGGGTCATTGAGTCTACACTCTTTGAGTTTTTAAATATCATTTGGTTCTTTAACAGGAGCAAGCCCCACAGAAGAATAAAGTAGCAAAGCTGAAGATGCGATGTGGTTCAGGGATGAGTCTAGATTCTTGTCTCCCTGTATTTCATCCATGCTGTGAAATGTTCTTGCATCTCTCCACATGTCACATCATCTGAACTCTCAGTCAATACATTATTGGGATTTTATTCAAAAGTCCATAGGACATTATATAGAGTTGCTTTTCCGTATGTCCTTTTAGACGGACCATCCACAAAGTCTGTGATGTTCTATCTCCTCTCTGTTGGGTCCCCACCTCCCACAGGCACCTTCTGGTCGTCACTGCTGTTCTGTTTGTATCCAGGAAAACACTCAACAGTTCTGTACAAGACCGATCTCATCATTCAGAAATGCATGTACAAACAACAACAGAAATGGTTCAAATGTTTCCTTTACAACTGTTTTATTCAAAGCAAATTTAAAAACCTAATATTTTTTCCTTTAAAAAAATGGAGATTTTAAAAAAAGTTTTATAATTAGTTTTGAGGGTGCATATCTTACCTTCAAAATAAACGATTTATATATTAAATTTGATATCCATGTACATTCTAATCTTTTTTAGGTAGCCATGATAAGATTTCATATTCAAAAGCCAACACCACTTTTTCTAAAATTTAGAAGAAAAGCTTCTTGTGCCCCATGTAGCAGGCACTTGCTCCAAATGGTAGAAAGTCCTTTTGCCCTTGGCCAAATGGCAGGTCTTGATCTCTGGTTGTGTGAAAAGACATGATTTGTTTTCTTCAGAGAACGGAAGGAGTCTTAATTCCTTAGGTTTGTTTTTGTCTCAAAGATGTGTCTAAAATGAGTATCTAATGTTTTATTGTATAAACCTTATGATGATTGCACCTGTGCAGTCCAACTTTTAGATATTTTCATACCAGAAAAGATGACAATTGGCAGCTGCATTGGGTTTAGGCCAATAATCTCAGTATTCTCATCTTAGGTCCTTCTGATGGAGGAGACAGAATTCTGATTTTATTTAACCAACAAATGAAAGAGTCTATGTACATGGCAGTTGGGAGGAAGTGAGGGAAGGGGGTCACAAGAATATCACATAAAAATAAATACTTTACACACTTTTCTTCCATGTCTAAAAGTGTTAAAATTCTAATTGGCTAAGATTAGAAGGTAATTAGCCAATTCAATTATTTATTAAAAAATATAAAAACACACAAACCAAATGATGCAAAAAAAATCTTTTTAATCTAGAAACTCATTTCCCAGGGCTAATTAATAGCGAAGCCCTGCCAGTTTTTGTTTATTTGACTAATAAGAGCTATTCGGCATTTTCTTCAAAGTAAGAGAATATATAACAGATTTTGATAGACCTTTCTAAATGAGGACATGATACTGCAGGCAGTTCAAGGAAAAATAGCCATAATTTTTTCTTTGGTGTAACCAAAAGGATATCCAAAAGTTAGCAAATGTTGACATTTCAAGTGATAAGAAATTGCCAAATGGAAGTTTAAACTCTAGTTAAAAAAAAAAGAGGTGTAAAAGGAAAAGCTCAACCCACAGTTCTGTAGTGCAAGTTTTTAAATTTAATTTTGAAAAATAATTTTATTTAATAAGCAGGAAACAAATTCCAGCAGTGTATCACTCAGTTCTCTCCCCTACTCTCTCCTCTCTTACCCTCTCTGTATGTGCACACCGGCATTTCAGTTCTCAAAGGAGGTCTCAGCTGCTACTCCTGGAGGAAAGTCATGAAAAAAAATTACCCACATTTCTACAAATCAGGCTGAAAGTTCTGTGTCTGTGGCTGCACAGCAGCGGACTCTGTCACAGCATTGCCACCGCCACATGTCTGTCATTTTTACAAAAAAGAAACAAAGCCTTTTTTCCCCAGAAAAAAGTACCTGAACCAATTACTCACTTAGCCCTTTCCCAGCTTTTGGGGTTCACCACCACACGGCTCACCTCGAAAGCACACCTGTACATATCCGCACCTGTTCTGTGCGTTCAGAACCAGCAAATCAACCACCTCTTTCTTATAAGTAATGGTCCTCTCCCTTCTGGAACTCACTAATTTCCATAAACATAATACTTTTAAAGCAATTACCACCACATCCAGAAGATCCCATTACTCTCCCTAGCTTAACTCTGTCTCTCGTTTCTGTACATGCTGTTTGTGTGTATGTGTGTATTTTTTTTTTTTTACATAAAAAGCGTTTCAAATGCACACACACACCCCCTCCACGCCCACCCAGCATTTAGAAAAAAAAAAAATCTTCCCCAGGAAGCACCTTCAGAAGTTAAGCTTCTACTTGCTTTTTAGCCACAGGGCAAGTGCCAAGTTAAGTCCTAAGCCCTCCCCTTCCGCCGCAGGGCTGGCCGTGTCAGGCCCACAGCGCAAACCCTGAGCAGGAACTACGGACAGGGCAGCGCAGGGTACCTGCCAGGATTCCTACAGCCATGTGCTGCACATCTCCCCACATCACCTGGGAGGTTCCCATTCTTGCTCCTAACTCCCTTCCCTTAGAGGACCTTCACGTTGTTCTGAGAGATCCCTCCCCGCGGCACTGGCCCGCCCCTCCGTGGGGCCAGCAGCCTGCGCCCCCAGCGAGGCAGCGGACTCCACGCCACAGAACAGGCTGCTCTCATCCATTTCATCCCCCGCCAGTCCATCCAGCGAACATCCCCTTGCAGCGCCCGGGGCCCGGGGAGCTCTGCTGTCTATGGCCTCCGTGGCTTCCCCTTCGCCCTCTGAGATCACCGTCATGGGGCTGCTCTGGATCCGGTTCCGCATGCTGTACCTGCTGCTGGCGGCAGAAGGCGGCGTTCGACTGCGGCCGTACCTGGGGCCGGAAAAGGACAGACTCCGAGGCATCAAGCCTTCGTTCTTGGCCCACTCCTCCTGGGCCCTTCTGTTCTTGCTTGGGGAGCAGCTTGATGGGCTCTCGGGGGTGTCTGGCCCCGGCTCCGACCTTGACCTCTGGAACCTAGGGTCTGTGTTCTTGAGCATCTCCGCTGCGGACATGCGGGCACTAGTGTCTGACCGACTCCCCTTTTTTAGCAGCAGGGCTTTAAAGTTGTCACTGCTGGTGCTGCTTTTCCGGACGCTTCTCTGAATGGATCCCACTTGCTTCTGGGAGGCCAGGCTGGGGGCAGCACCAGTGGGTGTCACTGGTGGGGAGGGAGAATGATTTCGGGAGTGGTCATCCTCTGAATCTTTACGGCCAAGGACTTTCCTCTTGGACCTGAGATTTAATAACGTTAAGATAAAGGTTAATTCCCAGTGGGTCGCTGGATGTCAGCCACAACCACCCTGCTTCTCTTATCCCATACTCTGCTCACCGTCTATTATTTTTACTATGGGAAGTTCCAAACCCTCAGGCAAAAAGAATAGTTCATTGTATTACCATGTGTGCCCATGACCCAGCTACGATAATCATTAACTTATGGCCACCCTTCTTTCATTTCCACCCTCACTGGATTATTCTGAAACAAATCTCAGCCATCACATTATTTTCCTTTGGATAGGACAATTTCCAAAGTTTTAATAATTACCACTTATCATTTACCTTTTCTATATTGGACTGATCCGGAGTGAATTTCCCGATGCTGACCATCCTTTCTTTCTACTCTTCCATTTCTTGTTTGGTGCCAGCACTTGACTGGGCCTAACAGACAAGCCAACTCCTAGAATATCCGCTCTGCTGAGACAGGCCCCCGTCTCAGGTTCCAGAACAACTCCACAGCTCTACCTTCTCAGTCATTCTAGAGCTTGGCATAAAACCAGCCTTCCTTGGCTCTTATTGGACCACATGTCAACTCCTAGAAATCCAATTTTCTGGAAGACAAGAGTGAACCCTCTACACCAGGTCCTGTGTCCTGATTGACTTCAGAGAACCTCTAACTGATCGAGAAAATGTGAGGGGTGCGGGTAGAGCGTGAAACAGGGGAAGGGCCTTCAAGGAAAGTTAAAATTGTCTTGGAGCTATTTCTTGCCCTCATTCTCTAAGAATCTCCCCTAATGTGTTTCCTACTGAGAGTGAATCAGAGCAAATAAAGCAGATGAGCCAAGGGGCCCCTTGCTGGCCTCTTCATGACAACTCGGTGTGTGAGGAATCTCTCAGCTAAGAGTAGGTGGACTTGCGCTGTGGAAACTTGATATATTTAATAAAATAAAGATGTGGGCCTAGCTCCTTTTCTGCTAGGAAATTCTAGAATACACAAGTAAAGGTTGAGACGATGCTATCTAAACATAGAGACTGAGAGCTGAATCTGAGCATGACCAACTTCTAGCTGTGTGACCTGGGACCAGTGACTTATCTATGCTGCGCCTCAGTTTTCCTACTTGTAAAATGGAAGCGATGATGCCAACCTCACAGGTTTGTGAGGATTCAGTGAGACAGATGACCTCTGGAGCCAAGCTGACCTGGGTTAAACCCCATGCTAAAGCTTCCTTGTTCTGTGACCTTAGGCACGTTAAAGTTTCTGATCCTGTTTCCTGTCTGGTAAAGGGGAATAACAGTAGACAGCTTGTACTTGTTAACAAAGGTAAACGCAGCAGCAGCCATAAAGCGTCAGGCGTAGAGCAGGTGTTTAACCATCCTCTGAGTGTCATTTAGGGAGAGACCACTCTCCCTTCCTGCCACTAGGCCAGGCTTCAGCGCTGGTTTACACGCCCTGCACAGCTAGGCACGGGGAGGGCGGGCCCATGGTGGCTGCCCCAGGCCTGGTGCTCCCAGGGCTCTCTCCATGCTTCTGGCCAAAAAGAAGCCACCAAAATGGAAGCCAGGAAGTGGTAAAAACCCAATTAAGAGGCTGAAGGGTGGCCAGAGCTGACACGGTGCCAGCCCCCTTGGGAGTGCAGGGACTGGCCTGCGGTTCTCTGGTTGTCAAAGAGTGGATACCAGAGAAGGTGACTTCACTAGGGCGTGAGGTCACACGGCGCAACACAAGAAGCAGGAGCTGACGGAGTGTGTTTCCATGTAGAGCACGTGTCTTCAGTTTATACTGTTTACACAGGCAGAGCTGCTCTTCTGATTCCTGCAGGTATTGGTTTGTGGTATAATTTTTTTTTTTCGGCTTTTAAATGGAGAGGGTGTGCTGAGCTCCATCTAATAAGCCACAGCTATACCTGGTTAAAGCTATGGCCTTTAACTGTAGATTCAGAATAAAGAGAGGAGATGGGGATTTATAAAAGCATTGTTGTTTCTCAAGAGCAACTGCCCCCTTAAATGAGAATTAAATCTAAATAGGTAAATTCTCTGCATATATGTATATATGTGTATACACACATATACACTATACATATATACATATAAATATATATGTATAATATATATATCTACACAAATACATATATATATATATAAGTATATACATATATAAAAAAATATGTGTATTCCTAAGGAAGATGGCTAGGAAAAGTGCTTAAATAGTTAACACTGGCTTAAAAACTAATTATTTCAATAAATATAAAAACTTCACACCTCAACTGGTGTTCCACATTTTCCATCTGGCTTTAAATCTGAAGTGAATTAATTTGCATTATAAAATTTAAAAGCTGTTTCAATTTAGATATTTTTTCCATTAAATTATTAGCTTAGGTGCTGAAGGATATAAAATAAAGCCTTAAAAGTCACAGATACTAGGTGGGTTCCTATTATGCTTGCTAATATATTATCTAAAAATATGTAACTATGTACCCAAACAGAAGTCAGCCTGTGTCCTTGCTCTCTCTCTGCAATCCATACCCAGCTCAGTCTTTACTTGTATCATGTGTATGCAGAACAATACAGACTGGCCAATTTCTACATCTGCAGTGGAAATTTTTTAGTGCCTCAAGAAGGTTGCCAAAATAAAATATAGAAGAGAACTTCAGCATTTTTTTTAAGGAAATGTAGTAATTCAGCCCCACAACAGTTGGGTTTCTCCCTGAGACCAAGTATTTAGTACACAGAGCCACCAGGCAACACATCTTCTCTGGATGCTGTTTTAGATACATATGCCTGCATGTTTAGCACCCGGCACATACCAGACCAAATGAAAGACATTGGGCCTTGGAAGGATTTTTTAACAGTTAAATTCCAATTGGTTCAGCTTAATTCAGAAAATACCTATGGAGTGCTTATTAGGGGTCCAGCAGGATTCATGTTAGAAACATCTGTGTAAACCTCTAGAAATGCACTGAAGTTGGTTTCAAAGGATGTGACATTTTTCATTTCCTTGTTTGGAGGAATAACTTGATACCTAGCTATATTTTTATTTCTAATGAGAGCAAAGGGACCAGTCAATGTTGAAGAGGCAGTCTTTAGGGTCTGTTGGGCCATTATACCAATACATGGAGCAAAGAGATAAAGAATATAACTCCTGACAAACACCTTAGTTCACCTGCTTGGCTTCCCCCACCCACCCAGGTCAGATGTTTACATGGAATCTCAGGTAGGGACTGGCACAGCCAGTGCTGCTCATGTCACGCAATAACAGTCTTTCCAGGTAGATTCCAAGAATTGGGAAAACATTCCTGACACAAGGTTACTCACTAAGAGAATCAAATGATTTTATAGACGTTTAGTTTCAGGAGGGAAAAAAGGCACCTTGATTCAGGGCAACATAAGGCCTTGGCAGCATGGGGGCATTCACCTGAGTTATCTGAAAACACTGTGTTAAAGAATCTTAGAAGGCAGCAAAGGGCTTACATAGCACATAGTTTAAAAAGTACAGGTGCAAATACAATCTTATCCATTTTTATAATGACACTGTTGTGGGAGTGCTCGTAGCCAGAAAAAGGAGGCAATAAATAAAAGTTTAGGGCTAAATCATATTCACTCTTCAAGGTGATCACATGTAAAAAGTATACCATTTCAGGCAGTTAATTTCCTGTTTTGTTTTGTTTTAAACTCAGTAATTTTGGATGCCAGTAGATGGCACTAGCAGTATACAGTAACAAGCGGATTTATTTCCTCTTGCTCCTGCTTAAAAAAGATGTACTCTTTTACTGAAACATTTGAGTGGCCAAAGAAATTACACCGTAAGATTCTAGTTTTTCTGTAAAATGAAAATGATAATAGCAAACAAGTAAAACACTGTTAGGAAAGAAGTCCTGTAGAGCTAGTCTGTGCATCTTAAGTCCACAGAACACAGCCTCCTTCATCCTGGACTTGACCACTGGCCACTCTAGCCCAACTCTTGTAAATACCCTGTCATATGACGGACACTACATTTCCTGCTACTAAGAGCAGTGCTGACCAAAAGCCAACAGCAAATTGCGCCTCTCTCTCCCACATCATCATAAACATTATTGGAACAAAGTAAAACAGAAATTGGAGTCAATGAAAATAGAACTATAGAAACACTAAAAAAAATCCACAATCAAGTTAATGAAGCCTAATTGGGGGGCAGAAGAAATCTCAAGAAAGAAAAATACATTGAGAAAGGGTTTGGAAAGGGGGACTCATAAAGCAGATTCAAATAAGGAGTCTGAATACCTGTGAATAGCTGCAAAAAGGTCTTCTGTGGTCCGGGGTCTACTGGGGGTCATCACCTCATCACTCCCGTCTTCTTTAAGGAAGTCACAGGCCTCCGAGGAAGAACCGACTGTGTCCGTCTCCCGCACCCCAGCTATGAAGCAAGCAGGCAGACGTGAGATGCACGAGCGGTTTGAATTTCAGTCTTTAGCCAAGCTCCCAAATATGCTTCCCTGTCATTCTTGACAACATGAGAACCACAGGGAGAGGCAGTGGGGTCTGCAGTTTGATATTTCACAAAGGTGGGGAAAATGACACGAGCATGACAGTCAAAGCTCATGCTCTGCTGTTAAAGTCTAGATGAACTCCGACTAAAATCTCTCAAATGTTGTTACATTTCTTTGCAGCTCTCCAGGAGATTACTCACTGATATTTAATACCCAGCCTGCTGCCGATCACCCTCCCCAACACCACCCCACCTCTATTGTCTGCCCTTTTGTAAGCCCTACCCTTAGATCTAGATTTTTAAAACAATTTTCATACAAATGCCAAGTTGGTAACCTAAGTGCCAGGCAGCACAGGGAGCCCACATACTGCTGGCTTGAACGTGAACAAGCACCAGCGCTACTCGCCTCAGCTGCACATGGTCAGGGGGAACGAGAGAAAACCATACTCACCTCCTGGGTCCTGCAGGGACAGATCGCTCTCCACACTGCCCGCGGCGCCCGGCTCCTCCTGCGTGGGGGCTGGCGAGGCATCAGGCTGCACCATGGGGACAGTGGCTTCCACTCTGCCCAGGGACTTGGATCCTACAGCTCCTCCGGCAAGAACCGAGCTGCCAGAGTCGGACTCATCGGAACCTGCCCCGGCTGCACAACTCTCTTGTGCCTCTCCTCTCGTGGGGCTGGGTGATGCTTCGCTCACGTTTTCTGCGGGCTCCACCGTGAAATCTCTCTGCGGAGGTGGCACCAAGAGGAATAGTTTGGGCTTCTTGGAAATGGGGGGCGGCTTCCTGCTGGGTGATGGGCCGAGAGGCTCATGGGGCGGGGTGGGCCCGGGCCCAGCCTCTGCATTCCCGGCGCGGCTCAGGCCGTGGCTTGGGAGGCTGCGCTCAGCCGCACTGTCCTGGTGACCCTGAGTAGAGCTCTTGGCAGGAGACGGGAGGGAGCTTGTCGCGGAGGCAGGCTGGCTTTCACTCTCCATTTCATTTATGCTATTTCGGGACTTCAGGAAAGCAGATGGCTTTAAATGATACTGGGGAATGACTGGAGTTGGTTTTTCCTGAGATGCGTGTTCATGAAACAGTGCTCCTTCAGTTCCTGAGTTCTTCTTCACTGGCCTCAACTGCACCATCTGCAGCGCTTCTGTGGTGACCAGCGGCATGGGGGGTCTGCTGCCCTCCTCCTTGGTGGAAGGCTGCCTGCAAGCCTCCTGGGAGGGCTCTGGCTGGCCAGACTTTTTGAAAGAAGGCCTGGCATCTTTCATCAATTTGGGGTCAAGGGGTGGGGCAGGTGGAGGCACTGAGGAGGGTAAGGCAGGTGGTGGAGGTGGCAGAGAAGCAGATGAATCCAGAACAAGGGGGCTAAGTGCCGTGGGGGGCGGAGGAAAGCAGGCATCGGTTTGGGGACAGAGGGGAGTAAGAACTTCTGGGGGTGGAGGGGGAAAGAGGGGGGAGCGAGGCAGAGGGGAGCCCTCAGGGGAATCTGCCACAGGAAGAGGAGGAGGGAGGAGAGGAGACTTGTCAGCAGGACGAGGAGATGGAAGAGAGGGCAGAGGAGGAGCGGCAAGGGGAGACACCAGCACCGAATCCAGCTTCTTCATAGTTCCGCTTCCTTCTGTAGAAGTGTTCGAGGAAAGAGACGTGGAGGAGGAGGAGATGGATACTGAAGATACCAGAGAAGACTTCCTTTCTGGTACCTTGGGCTTGGGTTTCCCCTTCCCATTGGCTGGTGACATTGATTTTAAAAACACAGGCACAGGGGTGAGTGTGGTGGGTGTGTTCGACTGGCTGGAATACCCACTGGACGGAGAAGTGACTCTGTGCGACTTCTCCGGCGATGTGATCTTTGGTTTGACTGTGCCACCGGGCACTTGGGGTATCGCGGCCCTGGACCCCTCTGGGAGCTGGTGTCCAGGCCCGTTTCCAGGTGGCGCCGCAGTGCTGTTTGAACCTCCCCGACCTGGGTTCCCGGGGTCTTCCTGCACGCCCATATAGTCTATGTAGTAACCCCACGGGTCTGTGTACTCGGACCTGACGCTGCTCGTGTCGCTCTGTGCCGGCGTGACCCCGCTCAGGGAGTAGATGTTGGGGGTGGTGGCGGAGGTCAGGCTGCTGCCCGCGCTCACTGTGCTCTGGCTGCGCGAGCGAGGCAGCCAGGGCTCTTCGAAGTCGCTGCAGGGGCTCTGGGAGGGCGAGGTGCCGCCCTTGTCGGGGAGGTTCAGCTGCAGCGAGTGCTGGAGCGAGGCGATCAGGCTCTCGTTGAGCACCTGCCCGTGAGACTGGACGCTCTTCTTGGGAATCCTGCGCAGAGAGTCGGTCCGAGAGGGCGGCAGGGGAGGCTTCTTCGCTTTCTTCAAAGAAATGCTTCGCGAAAGGGATTTGTCTTGGTAATTTGCCCGGTCCCCTGGGTTCTTCTGAGTTCTTTCATCGAAAACATTAACCACGCTGTGCCTGGGGTTCCCCAGGCCGTCGCTGCCACTGCACAGGTTCCCAGAGCCGGTGTGCAGAGACGGGCAGTAGCCATCGTGGTCCTCGGAATACACAGACCGGGCGTCATCTCTGTTGGACGTCTGGTCCAAACTGCAGCTGCTCATGTTGCTCCCAGGAGTGCAGTAACCGGGAGTCGCCACATGTGGCTTCAGTGGAGACGCCCGCCCATTCCCGGAGGCGTGGTACTCCCAGGGCTCCGCGCTGCCGAGCCCCCTGCCGCCTGAGTAACTGGACTCGCTCCTGCCATCCACGTCCTGCGGGTGGGCGGGGAAGCTCAGGCTGTTTCTACAGTTATAGGCCATGGCCTGGGACCCATTTTCCCGATTTCCAGCATTGAGAGAGACCGTGGAATCACAGAGGGACAGCAGTGCGCTTGCACTGGAGGAATGGGGATCCGAGGCCTGTGAAAAAATGGTGGCGTGCCCTTCAGTCCAGTTACCACTGGGAGAATGACGAGCATCTCTGTGCCTGGAGAGGGGATGGTCCCTGGATTTGATCTTTGTGTACGAAGATGAGCTGGTAATCTGACCGTCCAGCTGCCCTGAACTCTGAGCAGTGTGAATCACAATAACCTCGGAAGAGGAAGAGAGTGTGGCATTTGGGATGATGCTGGTGGAGTAGGTGGCGTGAGGAGAAACCACACACGCCGGGCTTGTCACGTTCTCAGCCTCAAAGTGCCTCAGCTCCTGGGATTTGGGTCTCAAAGGTGTCCCAGTCCTTGAGGCACCTCCTGGATGCCCTAAGTCTTCATCTACATGTGGGTGACCCCGCTGATAGGGGGAAGTGCCGTCCACGTCTTCTGCAGAGCCCAGGTCGCCCAGCCGTGGCTCGAGGGACTGAACATTTGCCCTCGCTCCAGACCGCGGAAGACTGTGGAAACCAGCGTCACTGTTGAGGCGAGAAGGGAACACGATGCCCGCAGAGTCGCTCAGCACAGACATGTTCCCAGAGGAGCCTGAGAAGTGGCTCATCTGGGCGGCAATGCCTTGCCCCTTCTGTGCTCGGATTCTCCTCATTGAAGGTGGTACCACTTTCACTTCCTCAGTCTGACAGCTGGAATCCCTGGTTTCTGAGCGCTGCCCGGCAGCTCGACAGCTGTCAAGCCTTCCTACTGTAGAGTAGTGGTCTGGGGTGAACACTGAGTGACCACCATCATCTTGGCCAGTGCCCCCAGAAGCTGGAGATAAAGCAGAAAGAGGCTTGTTACCTAAAAAGAAAAATCAGTGTCTTGGTTCATTACCTTGATCCCTTGCCCTCTTCTGACTCTGTTCTGTTGTACTTAAATCTTTTCTATTTGATCTAGTTTCTTTTTTCCTATAAGCACGTAAATGAGACTTTAAGTAGTTACAATAGCTCCCAAAATGAAAATTCTTATTATCAATTTCATGTACTTCTCTAAATGTGTTCTTCAAATCCACCTACAGATTAAGCGCTGCATATAGAATTCCCAGGTACTTCCTTTGAGATCAAGGCTGAGTGTTCCCTGGAAGATTTACTTTTCAAATAACCTCCTTTTGGTAAAGATATGAAGGTAGCCTCTCACCCACCAGGTGACTGCACAGAACATCTGTCAAGCGGTGACTGTCTTTCCCAAAGACAGATGAATGCAGCAGTTCAACAATAGGGCTACAGAGATACCATTTATAAGGGGTACTGGTGTAAAACAGTGTTAATTACATTTTTTTTTAATGCCAGAAGGAAATCCTAAGAAAAAGAAAGATGATTTACATGCCCATCTGTGTTTCAAACATTTCATTATCCATCTTAAGCCATTATCATCTGTCTGTTGGTGACATTCAAAATTCAATAGCAATCTGTTGTGTTCTGGTGGGGAAAAAGCAGCAGGAACCAATCCAGTGAACATTTCCTCAGATTAGGGTTATTCATTTCTTGGAGCTTTACAACCAAACAGAGAGAATAGTATGTTTGAAAAAAAAGAAGAAGAAGAAAAGAAGAAGAAGAAGCACGAGGCAGGGTGAACAGGGAGGGAGGGTAGTGGATGAGGAAAATCCTTAAGTGTAGGTGAAGATTTCAAGCTACCTAGGAAAGAAGAGAAGCTTAAAAAAAAAAAATGAAGCCAAGAACTTACCCAAGTGTATACAGGAAAAAAAATCAATCCATGCATAGTAATCATTAGGACAAATCCAATTTTGAAAAAATAGTAGCAAAACAATAACTCTTTCTATGTTGTCATCATCCAACAAGGACCTGAAAATATCTCAGTCACAGGCTTCGGTGAGCCATGAGAATTGAGCACCCACTGGCATCCCTGTTCACCTGGTGGTGGGTGGGATTCCTGAGATCTCCCTCCCTGCCCCGCTTAAATTAACCATCACATGGCACATGTCTCTGACTGGATAGAACAGCTCAGCCAAATAGCAAATGGCGGCAATGTTCTTGTATCAACCGCACAGGAGATGTCGCCCTACAAGGAAGGCTCCCCAGCATAAGGCCCTTTCCCTTACTGTGGTGATGGAGAATCATTTTTGTATATGCATCTTTGGTAGAGAGGATCTATTTCTTCCTCCTCCCCTCTGCTAAGCACACTTACTGCACACAGACACTCACACGTGTACCTATGATGTTCTCCCTCAGAAAGAGGGGAAGTGGGCAAAAGGGTAGAAACAGAAGAAAAATCTACTTTAAGGAAAATAAAAGGTACAAGTTTTGCAGTTCAGTATTCTAGAAGGTGGGGGGTTGATCTGTAAGACTGTATCAGTTTGCAGCAGTTCAATTCCAAACATTCAAGATATCTTATTCCATTCTGAGATAGATTTTGATATCTTTTTCTTTCAAAATTATAGCAATTTGTACATGGGGTCAGTGGTAGATTATTAAATGTCTTTAAGGGCCATAAACAAAGTCATGAGTCTCTTAGGTAACAATTTTGCATGTGAAACCATTCTAGGCTTCTGAAAATGGGACTACAGCCATTTCTTCATCAGCCATTTCTTCGCCCAATACAACTTTCTTATTAAAATAGCAATGTTTTTTGAAAGACCTTAAAAATACATTAAAAAAACTCATGTATTATTTATTGTCGGGACCATCATCAAAGTTCTGTTCCCAAAACAGATCCTCCAATATTTTCATAGCACAAAAAGTGTGACAATATTACAGGACAGAGATAAATGCTATCCTGATTAAATAACAAAAATTGCAAAAATGGAATTACTAACAAATATAGACTACTCAGGTCGCTGTTAAAAACCTTGATGGGATTTACCTGATTTTAAGATAATTACATATTTTTTCTTTTACTTATTATGTAATACTATAAGGGATGTCCAGTTAAAAAGATACATTGTAATCAAAAAGGATAGAAACACCTACAAGTTAGCTTGATTTAAAGTTTAGTGTGTGAATGTTTTAAATGTCTTGTCAGGTCTAAAGTAGCGTTCTTAGTACAAACCAGCAAAAATTATTCAGAAGGGAATTCCTTCAAATAAGGCCTTTCTTGCTTGGGGAGTACATACTAGAATAAGTTCCAAGCATCTAAACTCTCAGTAGCCAAACATAATTATATACCAACAAAGTAATCCCATCTAAAAGATAGGATTCTAAAAGATGAAACCTCGTAACAGGTTGTTCAAATACATTGCTACGTACACTTAAGAGGAGAGTAAAGTAAAATTCAGAAATTTTGCCTGATTTATTTAAATGGAAGGCAATAAATCATAAGCCGTAAATATGCTTTAAACAGAAAATATCATACCTTGATTTTAAAAAATTATATATTGACTAGTCTCTGGAGTCCACCACAGATTTTTGAAGTAAAAGCTGCATATAATTAAGCACAATTAACTGTCTAATTCTGGAAGCATCCTTGGCTAGATTTTAAAAATCCAAATCCAAAGCCCCAGCACCTTGGGCAGTGTTCAGTGGACAGGTTGCATCTTTCCTAGTGAACATCTTTCATATAATCATATTGTTTAAAATCGAATTTGTCTGACACAGCCATCCTCCCCTATGCTTTAAATCTAAAGACTAATTTTTAAGGAAAATATGAAGGTCTGTTTTTGATCATCCTTCGTTAGGTTGTACAGAGCTTTCAAATCAGACACCTTATATATAAGCATAAAATATCAGGAGAAAGGGCAAGGTCAAGCCCTGCCCAAGTGAACAAAGGAAGAAAAGATATGATCCAATTTTTTTTGCTAAGTGTTACTGTATTCAAATACTACTTTCCCTTACTCTATGCACTAGTCCTTCCCATTAGCCCATCTGTGAAACTAGAGTGGTTGTCTAATTGTCTGTGAAAAAACCAAAACAAAACAACTTAGATAGCTGTTAGTTACAGCCACTTGGATTGCTACAGATGTTAGTTGGCTGTGTCTAACTTGGATAGTAACTTGGCTGTGTCTCCGTTGACCTCCAGTGGTGACCCAGGTCGTGTCACCAACTGTGCAGTGACATCAGTGGTCTCCCATCTGGCAACCCTCCCAACACAGACGACATGGGGAAAGCGACTTTCCTCTGTTACGGGCGAAAGAGAAATGAATGTGGGCCCAGAGACTCTACCACTGGTTTTAAAAATATTAAAATTACAGAAGATATGATTCACCTAGCTGGTCTGAGCATTCCAGTAAGGCCAAAGAGGCAACTGAGTTACTGGCACCATACTGGTTGGGTTCGGTCATAAAAGTGGTAAAAGTTCCTAATTCTGAGGTTCTAGAAGTCATATTACATACAGACAGATAGATAATTCATATTTAATACTTATGTGTATGTCTATTTTTATCTAGGTCAAGCTATTAGACCCTTTGCACAAAGCCATCCCAAACCTACCCATTTTGATTGGAAAGCCACTTAAATGTTTTAAACATCAACCTTGCTATCTTACAAAGGGCTGCCTTTAAAGTCACTTTTTTAGGTTAAGGCACATCTCCTAAAAAGATCAGTTAAAATATAAGTGTTATGTGAGTAATGTAAGAAATTAGCCCATTAACATCTACTGAATGTTCTAGTACAGATTATTTTTTCTCAACTTAGTTAGCTGTCACCTAAAGGAGAGAGAGAGAAAAAAAAAAAAGAGTCTGAAAGAATGGAATACAGGATATAGAAGCCTGGTCCACTAAAAAAAGCAGCTGCGAGGGCATGAACGAAAGGCTAACTTCATAAACCCTGTGGATGTAATCTTGCTTTTGTTTGTAATAAACCCCTATGTCACGGGAAATGATGAGCACCTGTCTGTCATCTGGGTCACTGGAGCTACCTAGAGCAGAGGAAAGGTGTCACTATTCTTGTCCCATTGTTGTTACAGTCTGGAAGGCAGAGAACACATACTGTAGGGCTGGATGGTAGTAAGAAAGAAAATGCTAGGTAAAGAAGAGTGAGCCTTGCCTCCCTAATACAGAGCATGTAGGCAGGGATGCTGGGGGGAAAAAAACACATAGGAACAATATCTGTAGCTTCTGGAAACTGAAATGCTACCTCAAAGTGCTGTAACAGATACATCACTGTTGCTAGGATAAACTTATTCTGACTAAGAGACTAATAGGCAAATCTAGAAATAATGATTTTGAGTTTCTAGAGTATAGCCCTCAACAGCAAACACTAAAAAGGTCAGGTGAAGTAATTATAAGGAATTAAGTCCACAGGTTGGCCAAAGAGAAAAAAGGCAGGTTTTGAGAGACGTACTATTAATTTCAATACAATAATTATAACAGCAGCTATTATGTTTATAGTAGTGCCAGGCACCAAGTGCTTCACCTGTAAAAATGTATTAAGTCCCCAAACAACCCTATGAGGTAGGTTCTATTAATATCACCAGCCACAGGTTTTCGAATGAAAAAGGAGACTCAGAAAGGTGAAGAAACCAGCAGGAGGCCACCCAGGGCATAAGTGGCAGAGCCAGGGTTCAGATCCAGACAGCTTGGCACCAGAGTCCCTGCTCTTGGCCTCGGCAGACATTCCTGACAGGCCACGAAGAAACAGGGAGAGGAAGTGAATGTAGACAGAGAAGAAAGAAAGGATCATCAAAAGCATATATAAAGATAGGCAGAAACAAAATGGATGTGTGAATAATGAAGTAAATAACCCTCTCCACCAGCCAAAAGAAATTTTTTGGTTGTTTTCTGTTTTTATCACAGGTTGCAAAATACTGAATCAAAAAGCTGTGGACTAGTTTCACCGGAAGTACCACTGAGGCGCTATCCAACACTGATCACTATTTCCTGCTGTCCTGGTATTTACTAGCTATGCTCCATTGCTGTCTCTTCGATGACAAAATGCCATCAGTATTGTCCGTATAACTAACGAAGTGCACATTTATAATCTGAAGTCCTAGAATGAGCTTTCGGTTTTAAGAAATCTTAAACTGTAAATTTAATTGTGGAGATGCCCACTGTGCAAGGTACACAGAGATGATGACATAATTGTAAATTTCTACCATCCCTGTTGATAGTTTTCATATACACTCTTCCCATCCAAATTCAACACATCGTCTGCTTGGGGTGTTAAGATCTGTACCCGATGCCACATTCAGGAAAGAAGCTGGCCCTCTGGGGCACCGAAAGGCTATCAGAATGTATCGATTTTATAAGCACCACCGATGAGGTTAGCGTAGTACTGGTGAGTAGCAACGAAGGGCAACAGAATACAGTTCTGATGAGCCATACCTAGCTCCTTCTGTATGCTGTCAGGGACTCCTGTAATAGTCTTTCTCCTTTTGACTTTCTTCGGTCGTCTTACCAGAGTGTCTGTGTAAATTAGAGACCGCCGAAGGCTGGCCTGGCGATCGAAATTCTCCCCTAATGTAGAGTAGCAGAACAAGCAAAGCAATGTTATTCTCAAGCAAGCTGACACCATGCACTTTCTTCCAGCAGCTCGTTGTAAAATGATAAGAAGGTATTAATAATGATGTTAGCCAGTCAAACGATGATGAATGAATGCTGAAGGGCAAAAAAGGAAGGAAAGCACATTATCGTCATAAGGCTGTTTTCCAATTTCTCTGTGTGTGTGTCCTTCCAAAGGAAGCACCTGGAGCTCATTTTCAAATGAGCTGGAGTGGCAAATGCAAACTGGTGACTAACACGCTGGGAGAGTGATTTTATGTAATTTAGAAATGGATCCTTTTGGAAATGTTTCACAAAGGTCTTCTGGTCACCAAAATCACGCTTTGTATCAGCGTGTATGCGGTGCCGTCAGTGAATATATTTGATTCATCCGGTCATCTCCAGAGATGAAATGCCTTGTCCTACGGGATGAAACAAATAATCAAGAATTCTTGCATGAAGAGCTTTCTTCAGTCAAGGAGGCTGATAATTTGGATAGACTGTGGTAGTTGCTATGGTGTGAGATACAACAATCATGAAAAAGGAAAAGCCTTATAATGATAAAGTACTTTTATTACAATGAGACCCAGTAGCACTGCTGTTGTTAAAGCTGAACTGCTTCTCGTTGCTTTGTAATCACTTTTTAAAGCTGATCTGAATTCAGACATTTCAGGTAATGTTGCAATCAAACCGAGAATACCACATCCACAGGGCTTTTTCTTTCTAACATATAAGCTGTGTGATTAACACACCATAAGAAACCATAAAATAATAACGTATTGGTTATTGACTGGTCTGCTTTAAATTACTTGCCAGTTTAGTTAAAGAACGTTTTATAGCATCGACCTTGTTAAATGGTTCTTCTCCTCCAAAAGAGATTTTAAAAATACATACATACACACAAATACATACTTTTATGTTGTAAGAAAAGTATAAAAATTATTTATTCTTTTTAGCAATATTGACACACATTCAAAGTGGGTATATTGTGAACAGTGTATCTTCTATTTTAATAGGGAAAATTGTGGCTAGAACCGATAAGGCTCTAACCAAAAACAGGAGAAAAGTGCTGAATGATCAAAACACATTTCACCTACAAAGCAACAAACTTAAATAAATGCTTGCCAGCTTTTAAATGCTTGCAACTTTGTTCCTAATGGAGAAAAACAGAAATGATTTAGAGAAGACACTGAAACACCAGAAGGTACCATCACTGTGATAAAGGGGTCACCATGTACAACAGCATACATGGCTCTTGTAAGGGGCAAGTCAGGACTTCAGTGGTCTGTTAGTTCCCTGTAGCAGAGGAGAAACATTTTCTTGTATCAAGCCATCAAGAATGGACAAAATATTAACAGACAGTTGCATTTAGTCTTCAGTTTTGCTTCCTAAACAAAAACAAAAGGTAAACCACCCAACCTCCAAGGAAATTAAGAAACAACCATGAGGACAGACAACTAAGAAACACACCACTAGTGGTGCCGAACTTTCCATCCTGCACTGTGACCTAGAAGGACTGTCACCCCTGTCGGACTATACGTTTTTGGAGGGTAGGGATCATGATCATGTACCTTAGTGTCACCTGCGGCATGCAGCTCAATGCTTGACACAGAGCAGTTATTCAGTAAATATCTATTGAATTGAGAGGAACTGAATTATTCCCCTGCATTGAAAAGTGGCATTAGTCAGTCATGGTTACTACTAAGAAATCCATTTAGCTAGCTCAAACATCAGTACAAAGGCAGTCTGTAAGAACTGTTTAAGTATGTTTACCCTTTCTATTTATCTCCCAGGTGGAAGAGTTGTTATCCCACATGACAGATTATGGAATAGACTCATATTTACATTTTATATTAAATGTTTTTTCCTCTCCAACTCTGAGAACATGGTAAGTCCCCACAGGACTATGACTAAAGGGATTAAACTCCATTTTCAAGCCAGCGGCTCATTGTGCTAATGTTCTACCTCTACGCCTGGTGAGCATTTCTCTGGACTTGAAATAATATATTAATCATAATTCTTCCCCCTGCCGAACTGTACTGAAAACCAAACAGAGGACCAGTGTTCATTCAAATACATGAGCACATGACAATGCCCTATAGGAAGCTGTGCTGTTATGTCGAAAGGTCTTCTAGGGCTTTAGAAACGTGTCATTTAAAGAGCAGGAAACGGTATAACCTGTGTCAATTCAACCACTAAAAGTAAACATTTTAATTTAATGCCTCTTTATACTAGAATATTAGAAAAAGTACTTCTTTATGAAATATATGTGTGTATATGTCAACACACAGATCCAGAAAATGGATCAATAAATATGTAGTTAGGTATTAGATTTGCTTTCTACATGTCTGAAAATGTTAATCACTCAATTAAAAGTAAATTGCACTTTATCATAACTTATATTGCTCATTTCTTTATTGTCATTCACCCTCTCTGTGTGGCATTTTCAAGATCTCCTTTTAAACTCCATGTAATTCATATCCACTTAGTCATCAAACAGGAGAGAATGAAGCTCAAAGAGACTGACGCTGTCTGCTGTTGTGACAATGAATTTCACTGCAAATTATTCTTTATTCCTAAAGCTCTAGTTACTCTGCTTTAAATTGCCTAATCTCATGATAAGGCATTTTACCCTAATTCCATTAAAGACTGTCACATTTCATAGCATGATCTTCTTATCTTACAATATTATTTCGGAGGCATTTAATCATATATAATGTAATTACATTTCTACTGCATTTAATCAATCAAGTCATCTAATGCATTTTCTTGCAGAAAATATGCACCCCTGTAGTTCACTGAGCATTAAGTCTTAAACTTTATTCTGTAACACAGCTACTTAGAAAAATAATCTTTAAAAAAAAATGAGAATCACATTCAGAAAAATCAACAGTGTTATTTGCAAAGAAAATAGAATAAAATGCCATGCTATTTCTTTAAGGCTTAATTATCAGAAATGTGGGGGAAATGTACATGGAATTTAAAATAATTCATGTACATACTTATTAAATTTCTTCAGGAATTCAAAATAGAGTTTTAAGTGTAATTTTCAAATATCCCGTAAGGTTTTTAAAAAGTCTTCAATAACTACGCAAATGTTTTTAGTCCCTTACAAGTTCTCCAGTGCCATGGCAGAAAGCATTCTAAACAGCAGCCAAGAGCAATAGCCTAAGAAACATAGCAAAGGTGCTGTGGGTTTTCACCCTAATTTTTTATGAAAACTTATTTTTACTGATCATCTGATTTTTTTTTTTTTTGGTTTCAGCCCTATAGGCCATGCTTTGTATGGACTGATTATCAGTTATAACTGTCATCATCTATTTCTCTTGAACACACAGTCTAATGGCGGAAACTATTAACTCTCTACACATCTGTTTTGCATTTTGTACACTCCCCGAACCACTGACCTATCTTCTCTGCAGGCTATGGAAGCAGAACATTTTTGCTCTCTCAACAGCTCTTCTAAGTTTGTGAAATATTGTCTTTGAGCTTTAATTATCATAAATATAATATTCTGAATATAATATTCTGAAAGAACCTGAGTTTCACATTGGGCAATTAGTAATCATATTCCAGCTTAATGTAACATGTTCTAAAATTTTTATACTCAGAAGGAACGGACTATTATTTGATACTTGCAGAATTCAATTTATGGAGATTAAGATGTAATTTTACTGCCCTATCACATTTTAAAAAAGATATATTTACAGTTATTATTAATTCACTTGGTATTTTTATTTCCAGTAATTTCCCCCCTTTTCTACTGGAGAAAACAAGAAGGTAAGAAAATCTGTCATTCAGAAATATCACAAAACTGTTACTTCTTCTCTTCTATAAATATGAGTTAAAATAGCCTTTTAGAAGGAAAACCTAATATTTTCTTATCCAAGATCACATCTAGAGAATGTTCCCATACAGCCAAAATATTTCAAAAAGGCAATTCAATTAAAAAAGAGACACGTCTGATGAATAGCTGGACCATTGACATCACCCTTTGGTGATGCAGTCTTCTAATCTAAAAGCAACAGCTATTTGACATGCACACACACACATATATATGTTTCAGTATTCCCTTCATTAAGCAAAGAACAGGAAGTCAGACCACAGCTATTTCCCTCTGATGTATAAACGACATGCTAAGAGCACATAACAAAAAACCACAGTCACTCTCCCAGGACATTTTGAACCTGCCTGCAGAGCAAAGCATACCGGTTATATTAATAGGAACCACATCAGCCTGGACTGTTTGGGCCTGCTGTCGCATCTTCTCTTCTGGTGTTGGCAAGGGAAGTGACTTGGTCCAGTTGGTCTGAGTATTAAGGTCAGAGAAGTCACTTGAGGTTGGCGTTTTAGGTCTCCTGGTGGAAACAAGTCTTTCCTCTTCCGACGAAGAGACAGAACACTGCAGGGGAAAAAAGTAAGAGAAAGTCATAGCATGTAAATGCTGGCAGAAACATTTAAAAATATGTTTCGGTTTTTTTTTAATTAAAATGATTTGAAGCAAGTTCAAAAAAAATTGATCACTTTTAGGAATAGAAGCAATGGTTTGCAAGAGAACTAACTGCTCATCATCTTGAGTGTGACCCGTAATATATGTGATTCACAGAGGCCTTAGTCTCTGAGCCATGAGGACTGCTAAAGGTTTTGCTGACCCACAAAAATCTTCTAAGTTCTTCTTCCTTTTTCTATATTTACTATGATCAGAAAGCTTATGGATTTAGTTTAATATTAGACACCCAGAGAAACACCATGGGTTTGGCCATCAGTTTCTATTTTTATTAAGATTTAGTTTCGCTCAAAGTAATTTCCAGCTTCAATCTCCTTTCCTTTAGGCTCTGACCTCAAGGAACATTTTGAAAATGACAGAGCTATTGTTGTTCAACTATTCGTGCTCTTCTGAAACTATTTATATGGAAAAAAAATCAGTGTGAAATTGTTAAATTATGAGAAGCTGACTGAAGCGCTGCTCCGAACCTTATCAGAATCCCATGAAAACATTTCTAGCAGTGTCTGTTTTGATACAGATTAACATCCTAACTGGGGAGCCCTCTTCAATTCTTTTCTTCCCATACCATCTTAAACAGAGCAAGGAAGAAGGTTGTTTGGGCAAGCATTTTATGATGAACTTCACCATGGCTTTACGGCAGCTGGTTCTATGATGAGGAAAACTCCAAGAAATCAAAAGAAATCCACTGGTTTCAGGAAAAACAACAAAAAAGGCTAAATGACTTTTGTTGGGAAATGACAGTTTATAATAAACACAGAAGAATTGCTCTTCAAGTCAAAAGCATTTAAACTACCACCTAAGGTGTTTAAGACAAGTTTAACTTGAGAATGAAAAGTCAATAAACCTTCTGAAGAGGATACCTGTATAATTAGCACCCAGGTTAGTTCAACAACCCCCAACCACACACCGCTCAAAAGGGTAACTGCTGCCCTGACTTCTAACATCACAACTTCATTTGTCTGTATTTGGATTTCCTCTAAGGGACATCATACTGTATTTTCTCTTTTACTTCTTTCATTCAACATTATGCTTGTGAAGATTTATCTATCGCTAAAAAACAGGTGTCAATGTCTTCCTGGATTTAGTGCAAGTTTCTAAAAGGACATTAGTAAGACATCTACAGAAATGCACCAGTAAGATATCTCAAACACTTTCATCACTGTTTACTGCTATTGAATTAACCTTCCTGCAAAATATCTGCATTTATTGTACAACTACTAGCACTCCACCAAAATAAAAAACAATATTTTTTAAATGGCTATACAAGAGCTAATGAAAATGGTTTTGGTGTGGGGATGGGGTCTGAAGCTCAGCCCAAAGGCCTGAGTCTATTCACTATATACTTGACAGTTACATGACCTTGGAGCCTATTCCTGAACATTGGTGTTTCCTTAGCTGTAAAATGGGGCTATACTCCCTACCTTCCACATCCTACTCTTGAACTTAATGAGATGACAGTTGTCAAAATGTCTACAACTATTAAACGTCACCGATGTGAAAGTGTTGATCACATAAAATGCGATTTCAGGAAAACAGAATTGTGAATTGCCAAGTACCCATTTTTTTTCTTTTATTGCAAGAAGATTAACAAAAATAAAAGCACTGCAGAAATAAAAACATAAAATAAATCATATAATTAGATATCTCAATATTTTAGACTTTATATTATTAGCACATAAAATGTGTAAAATGGTAATCTAGTTTCACTGCCACCTAAGGAAAATGTGAAATGTTTGTAATTAAACTGACAAATAAATAGACTCAATTCAGAAGAAGCATATGCTACTGACACCCTATTATGATCCTAAATTGCATTGTATCCATTCATGTTTGATCTGACACTGGTTAAAGTGGTCACAATCCCTATAGATCCCTGAAGGACAAGCAAAGGAATTTTTGAGTCAGCAACAGCTGCTAAGCCATACTGATGTAAATCAATTATTTCTACCCCTTCTGCAGTTGTAACACTTGCATGAGACTTGATTTATAATACATATTATCTACCCTCATGTTGAAGATACACACACACACAAATTAAGATTTATTTTATTTGAGAATTTCATGACAGTATGTGTCAAGGTCACATGCCTGAAGTTGAATCTCAGCCTAGTAAGTTAGAAGGTTACTCCAATTCCCGATATATACACATAGAAATAATTTTTCAGGCAATCTTGAAATGTAGCACAAATTTCAAAGGCCATACGAAACAGTTCCTAACCAAAAAAGTTTAAAAGAAAAGTAAAGCTTCAGCTTGATGGAGAATAAATAGCAGGGCGACACCCTCAGGGAGGGTTCCCTTTTCCATGTGACATCTGCAGAGGGAGACGACAAAGCACTGTTCTATGGTCTGTATCCATCTCAGTGGTGCTCATCAGCCCTCGTAACCTACTTTGCTTCTAGTTAACTGGGAGTGTCAGAATCGATAACTGTCGCAATGAAACAGTGCTTCAGCTTAGCCTCGTTGCCATGGGACAATCACCAGTGACCACTCCAGTATGACAACTGACAATGGTAATCTATTTTATAAAGTGCTCCCTTCATTTGCAAGACAATTTCTCAGACAAGCAGGGCACAGATAAAGTTATATGCAAATGGGACTGTTATACAGTGCCACAATCTGCTAAAATTTTGTTTTAAAGTACAGGATGGTATGACCCAGAATGATCTGACTTCCATCCCTCTCAGTATTTATAAATACAGCCAGGGCAGAGGGAATAACCTCGTGCATCTCAGTGGCAGAACATATCAAAATTACTCCATTAAGATTGATATTCCAATGCTCTGGATTTTTATGTTAGCCTCTTAACTGGTCTCCATGCTTCTGACCTTGTTGTCTACCCTTCCCTCCCCCCATTAATAGTCTATTGTTCAACAAAGAAGCCAGAGGAATTCTTTTAAAATACAAGTCAGATCATGTTACTCCTCTGCACCCCTACCATGACTTACAAGACCCTACACGACCTATGAATGCCCACTGCTATCTCTGACCTCATCACCTATCATTCTATTCCTTATTTATTCTACTCCAGGCACACCATTCTCCATCCAGTCCCTTGTACAAACCATGCACACTCCTGCCTCAGGGCCTTTGCACTTGCTGTTCCCACCACCTGAAATGCTCTTCCCTTAGACATCGTCACAGATAGCACTTTCTTATTCTTCAGGTGTTTAGTCAAGAGTCCTCTTGTTGAGGCCTCACCTGTTCACCCTACCTAAAATTTCAACTCCTCCCAAATATTTTATATTCCCTTCTCTAGTTTCTTTTTCCTATTTAGTATATATAACTAGTATATATATTTTAGTTATTTATCTTGTTTTCTCTCCCATCAGGATGTAAGTTCCAGGAGGCTTTAAATGAGAAATACATAGCAAGCTATTTCATAATTTTAGCTAAAAAGGGGTCACCATTTAGTAACTGATTGCTCAGTGCCTTGCCCTGGGTCACAAGCTTTATAGGAATTGGTACCTCATTTAATCTTCACATTAGCTTCATTTCATAAATAAGGAAACGGAGTAAAGCAACTTTTCTTTCAGGAAGTTCACAAGTGGGCAACTGGGATTAGAACCCACAGCTGACCCCAAAGCCTCTGCCGTTAAATGGTATAAAATAACAACTTGGCAATATCTCCAATAAGTTACTAAGTTTTCCAAACTGAAAACAAAATCTCCATTTATATCTCTAAGTAAGAGCAAAACCTTTAGAAAATCTACAATAAAGTCATCAATGTGGTGTAGTGGATGGAACAGTATACTCTGGAGTAAAAAACAAGAAGTGTCAGCATCCTGGTTCTGTCATTTACCAGCTGGATATTTTGAGCAACTCAAGCTAACCCTAACTTAAATAGTATTATGTTAATGGATCTCTTAATATAGGGTGAATTATTTTTTTCAAATACTGAGTTTAAAGTTGCCTTGCTTTCAGAACTTCACTGTAGTTTTTAAACCTGTAAACTGGTCAAGAGTGTTCATTAACACCCCATATGCTTGTCCTGGAAGGAATGGACAGTCACAAATGCGACTTAAGAGACCACGATTCCTTGTGTCCAATCATTTAATGTAGAAAGAGAGATCACCTGCCACACCAGCAGTTGTCTTGTGGATTTTGGATGCTAGAAGACCTGCATTTCAGACACTACTAGGTCCTGTCTGGAAATCAGACAAGCTCCCACCAGATGGACTGCGGGGCCTGAAACATGGTCTCTTTGGCAGACAGCCAAGTTACCCAAAAGTGGGCTTAACTGTGAAATACATTTGCTCAGGCTGTGTTTAAAAATTTGCTATGCTTTCAAAAATTAGAAAACCTAATTACAGCCAGAGCTAAACTTGGCATTCATTTACCAATTATTACATAAAAACAGATACAGAACAGGTGAAACTATATAGAGCACCATTCACAAGGAAATCCCCCTACATTCCAGTGCTTTTTACAGGACACTTACTTAGTCTGTGGTGTTTTTCTCTCCAGAATTAAGTCTCTCATGGGTTGACTCTTGTTTTTTAAAGATTCTAGATAAGTTTCATAAGGTGCCAAAACTTTCGCAGTCTTTTCTGACTATACACTCCTTCTACCTTTAATATACTTAGACAAGAGAGATCCTGACTTAATTCTGTTCTCTCCTTAATTCTTTTTTTCTCTCTGGACCCAACCACCACCACCACAAGAACCAGGGGGGGTGGTTTTTACATCCACATTGTTCAATAATTTCACCTGTTCCTTCTCTCCTATTCAGTGTATTACCAACAACCTAGCCTCTTCATCAAGGGCTCTAAACTTTCTTACCACACATTGAATTTTAAAATATTTTGGACGTAAATGATCACATATGAAGTGAACATAAATCTTCAAAGTGATTATGTAATTTCTTATTTTTAATGATCTTTTTATCACAATAAAT